TTCTGCCTACTCAGCATGCATGCAAGACAGGTTTGGCAAAYAACTTTTTTGGAGGTTTTAATAGTTATAAAAGTTACTCTGCTCATAATTGGGAAGTTATCATCATTTTTTTTCCATAACCAAACACTGGGCTTTAGTGCTGCTGTTCAAAAACACRACCATGAGCAGGAGGCAAGGCACTGCTGTGGGAACACACCATGGAAAATGGGGCACTGGGGAAGAGCACATCACATCCAAGACACTAAGCCAACCTTTAGGCACCCATTTGAGATTGATGCTCTAGATCCAGATAAACTATTCTAACCAGTTAAGATGCAGCTCAAACAATGCAGTAAAATACAGGTTAACATAAAGGTCTTGTAAAGAATAAAAATTATGCCTGTTACATTCTCAGCTCTCCTTCTGAAATTCCATAGGCCTATGAATCTGTGAAAATAATTATTCTTCTCACCCACTTTGTTGTCTTCCAGGTTTTTTTGGKTTTTTTTTTTTWKTTTTTTTGTTGGTTTTTATGTGGTTTGTTTAAGATGAGGCATCTCAGCATTTGTAGGGTTCCGTTGTGTCTGGATTAGATCCTAATTCTTGTTTCCATTCAGTTTCTGGACAACTTGAAGCATGCCCAAATTCCACATTGTAGCTTTTTCAGTGTGGGGAAGCTCATGAAACATGAGTTCTTTATGAGTCCTTTTGACATCTAATGCTTAAAAGCACTTGTCTACCTTATCTTCATGTTTAGAAGCTGGTATTATTATCACATACTGTACTGAGGATCAACGTGACATTTCTAAGGAGATTCTTGAAAATGTGATAATATTCAGAGGGTAAATAGGGTGCCGACTGTGGGAGTATTTGATACTGATTCAAATTTGACTATCCAAGTTGAATATCATACACCTGCATCGTGTACCTTTGCTCAATTTATGCCATTTCTTCATAGCAAACTTCAGAATCTCAATAGCACGAATGGAAAACCTTCCCAGCCCTGGCAAGAATTCTTGTAAAATAAAGCTAAAGCACTTGAACAAGGCTCTCTAGGGAAACCTGTACTGCAGCTACTTGGACTAGGTATGCCAAAGGAAGAGCAGATTTCTCTCACTTTGCCTGAACAAATACATAAGCCAAGTTTTAGTGGAGGAAGCGCACTCTCACAGTAGAGTGAAAACATTGTAACAAAGGGAAAGCAGAACACAATGGTACAGCTAACTGCTCCTTGTCATTTTACTGAAACTCCTACTGCATGGATGYTCCAAGTTTCAAGCAAAACACGTGCTCATGACCAGAGTATCTCAAAGTGCAGTGAAGGTACGTAAAACGAGTGACCAGGTGAGTTTTCCTGCTTTGTTACATGTTTCAGTGAATCATCTCTCCACTTCTGTCATGTTTTCATATTAGCAGCTCATACTGATAGAACAGAGAACTTCAACAAGTCAAGAGAGTATTTATTTAAATACCTGCCATAGGGKTTTTTTATATATAGATAGATACGAGAAAGGTGTGAAGCTACACTTGCAAAATGAAATTAAAAATTGCACATCTATAGGCAACACAGTGGGACAGTAACCTCCAAATTCTTTCCTTTGGACCTCAGAGCAAAAGGTGCCATGAGCTTATTCAGTGTTTTTTCCAGAGAGGAAGACGATGAGTTGCTTAGTACTAATATATTTGGAGTTGAGCATAATGAGTAGCATTAAAATTGGCTRTCTAAAAATAGGTAGTTAACTGGATCCAAAGGAGCTTACTCTCTGCTGTTTTTAAGTTCTTACAAAAAAGAGRACAAATCCTACTACCCAAATTTAATGGATTGTTCTGACTCAGAGCTTACTTAACTAGCACTATACAGTAGGTCAGAGCTTAGATTATCAAAACTATATTCCTGATGGAGATATATTAATTGTATCGGTTGCTTCCTGTAATCTTTTTCTGGAAGCCTCAAACCACAGATGCTGAAGTATTTTAACTAAAAAATACAGAATTCCATCAAACTCTGTTTGCACAAGATACCTAATTTCAAAAGTGTTACTGCAACTGCTTGCTTCCCTAATTAATATAACAGGTAGGTGATTATTCATACACCAGGAAAAAGATGAAGTCAGAATTTTTGGAAAGTTTTAACCTGGAGAGAAAAGGCTACCAGAGTAACATCTTGTGTATTGTCACATACTCCATATCTAGGGCTGTTGTCAGGCTGTTACAATGAGAATGCTGTTTTCATGTTCAACAGATTATTTTTGCTATAAAATTGCAGATCTGAAGGGCCACATTAGAATTTTTCTTCATTTCTTTTACGCTTTCAGGTGGATCTTACAGAGTTTGGCACATACAGTGTTTCAAGGATATTCATTTCATTACAAGTTCTTTGCTGTTAAACCTCTGGAGACAACTTCCACTTCTCTGTTGGATGAATAGGCAAACTTGAGTTTCCCCACCTGCTTTATAGTTAAAATACACCCAGCTTTAAACCAGGAAGTGGCAAGTATTGTTCTTACCCTCATACTTCCAGTTAGAATTCCATACTGAGATTATCTGTGTTCTGCTCATTTTAAATTATTTTTTAACATAGTAGGAAAAAAATTTATTAAAAGCTGTATCTACGGTAGAATTCTAAGTTTTTTTCAGGTAAGTTATTAGTATCCTATTCCTTACTAAAATAATTTTTTCCATATAGAATAGTGTCATATGGGCAGTTCAAGCTTCATGATGAATGCCCTAACAGTAAAAAAGRGGCTGAAAAAAGAAAACACACACACATTCCTTGTGTGCTGTTGAACTATGATGTGTGGCAGGGATGTACTCTGCCAAGACTGATGTGAGTAGCTGTTGTTGGTAGGCTGATGTTGGATAYGCCATTCTTTCCCTACTGGTTTTGTACTTTTCCAGCTGAAGGCAAAAAGTCTTTTAAAGTTATTGCGTTTTTTTTCAATTGTTTCATTTTGACTCAGACCATATGAAGCACTTACATAAAAGAAGTCTATGGGGAGATAACTACACTAGTTTTCAGTGATGAGGTTTATCTGTATTTTAACAGTTAAACCCACTATGTTAATAAAACAAAACTTCTGAAAAATAATCCTGCTCAGTTTCAGTATTTTCCCCATTATTCCTTGTATTTTAGAAAAAGATAAGAATTGTAAAGCACAGCTCCATCTTTAGGGAACTAATTCCTGGCATATAAACCTATCTGGCAGTTCTCTGCATGTTGGCCACATTGCAAAGATAAGACTTRGTTACAAGCTACTGCAGTTGCTTCTCCCCAAATGTACATTCATTTCCTGAAAACAAATGACTTCTGGTGCCAGAAAATGTTGAAAGTTTACTTGTAATTAAAAAAATTCCACCCGGCTTTATTGTTGGAGAGCAGGGGGGGCATTAGCATATGCCCTCAGATACAGCAAGTGCACCTTCGGTCAAGCTCATGGTCCCAGGTGAGCAGCCTCTGATCCTCTCTGCCTGCAGGATTCTGCAAATCCCAACTGTGAACACTGCTGCACAGATAAAGGGAAGCATATGATGGATACTTCTATTTTCTGTCACTCTGGGGCTGAATATAAGGGGTTAATCTTTGCAAGAACTACTGAAAACAATTTAAGGGGTGTATTGCTGACTGATAAAAAATGACAATTGTTTAGAAAAGCAGCATTAACCTCTGCAAATCTATGGACATCCTTATCCCCATCACGCCAGTTTAAGATCACTGAATTATAAATGAGATGCCTGATGTAAGACAAATGAGTCTCTGAAATGCTACTCCAGTATGTTAACCCAGTTTCTGACTGACAAGTCAGAACATATGTACAGCTACTACTGTGGGATCTTCCACTTCCCAACTCCAAATGCACAGGACTACATGACAACAAAATCCTTACCCGGTGAAGTTGCCTGTCTGGGAGATTGCTGCTATATGATGTATTTAAACTGCAGGATGTGTTTGGAGATAAGCCATTAAGAACAAGAACAGAACAATTGTATTTCACTTTCCTAATTGAAATTCAACTCTATTAAATATGAAACAATGTTCTAGATGAGATATTTTTGAAAGGAATTTGTTCTACAAAGTTTGGATAGTATTTCTGTACCAAACATTTAATTCAACAAAGAACTGGTTACATCAAAAGTGATTGAATTTGAACAGAAAGTAAACAAAAATGCATATTCAAGATAGTTTAATATGTATTTTCTGAATTAGAAATATCACTTTCTTAAATGAATGAGAATTTCTAGTGTAATGATCCATTACTCCCCTCCCCCATCACTGAATTACATTATTTATACATATAATACAGAGTCGATTGCAGTTGGAAACAACAATATTAAAATAAATGTTTAATAGATACAAAGGATCTTTTCTCCACAACATAGTTTTTTCTGGTGTCTGGACACCAATTTTAAAGTAATTCTCTATTAGCATTAAACTATTTAAGTGCAAAACAATTTTGTTTTAAAAAAATCTATGATTGCAGCATCCATCTTCCTGAAAAACATTTTGAAGCCAGAAAGTAATGACTTTCATTTTCCATGAGTGCATTCCAGGCTGTCTTCTAGCCATCTCTGGTTAAAAAAATCAGTGCAAAATAAACAATGGTGAAGTACTAGTTTAACCATTGAACTTACTTGAATTTAAGAAACATATCTTATTTTACACTATATATATATATATATTTTTTATTTATATATTTATAGAGAGATTAAATTACACTGGACTTGAAAAGTATAAAGAAAACCAAAAATGTTACTACTTTTTCCTGCAGCACCAAAGGAAGCTTTTTGCTTTTTCTCCAATGCAAACTCTTCCTTGGGTGAGCAGCCTAGCAGGATCAGCTGTAGTGAGAACTCCTTACATTTGTCCTTTGCAAGTCACTATGTGATTCACATAATTCCATGTTTACACTCTGCCACATTATAATTTGTGATGCTCTTTGCCTGAAGAACAGCTCCTGGTTCCACTGTCATTACTTCTTGTCCTGCGTTCAGAGATTTGCTAGCAGTAGTGTGATGGCTATACTACAGTTCCACTTGGAGAATTGGCCTGGTTTTGGGATGACAATAAACCCTGCAAACAAAGCAGTTTACATTAATCCAGCAAGAGAACCTCACATTAATTTTATAAAGTTCTTAATCTGAAGCTATAATGAGTACAATTGATTTTTACCAATGCCTGCTTACTTCAGACATCAACACCTTCTCTCCTACAAAGGCTCTAAGCCATGGTCTCAGCCAAGCAGCACACAAAGAGCTCTCAGTCAGGAAGAAACGTGTGCATTCATGACACCGAATGGATCTGATCCCAGCATTTGGTTTAATCTACCTTGCACTTGGAGTCATTGTGAACTGAAACTTTAAAAATCATACACCAAAAAAGTGATCAGCATTTTACTGGGGTGATGGCAAACACATACTGATACTATTCCAGTATCAGTATGTTTGACACCTGACCTSATAACAGGGAAGCACTCCATCTCTTGTATGCGATTGAGTATTACAGGCTTTGAATAGAAAAACAGATCATTTAACTAAATATTTGTTTTGGTAATTTTAAAACAGAATGAAACGCTGATGAGAGTTCAGTAAAGATTTCCCATTACAATTTAAGTTCATATTCAGGAAAACTTGTTACCAGCTCTTTTTAACTATCCTGCCATTCAAATCAAGAGACATTTCATTTCACACACAGCCCTGTGACTGCGTGGTGCTCCTTGCTACACAGAGGCTGCTGCTCTGGATTAAGGCAACTGCACCTTATGTACAGACCCATGGATTCCAATGGACAGACTCCATTTCAGATTTATGCACAGTAGCCCCTTTTTCATCATACACATAAAAGTAACTGTTTATCAGGCTTATTTAGGAAAAGCTTAATGTCAAAACCATTTAGCCTTCTTATAAGGTCACTGTTTAGTTCTACTGAGTGCCAGCAGGCCAAGGAGCGTGCTGGCAGCTGGAAGCACACTGGCAGCTGGAAGCATACCACCAACTTTCCCCTGCAACTCCTCACCTTGTGTGATATATGCGCTTTCAGCAACTCCTCTAAATAGCTCCCAGCTTAGGTTCTTACCTCAAAATTAAGATCCTGGTACTCAGATCCACCAAACCAGACAAGATCAGGCAGCAATTAGCATGCAAGACAGAATTGTGTCACTTCAGAATCTACAGGAGCTCTTTCACACTTGGATCCAAGAACTGAGAGGTCGTGGTGATAGAAGTAAACCGTGACCTCAGAAGAGGTGGAGGGGGAAAAGAGGGCTGGACTGACTGGACTCAAGTCATCAAGKTTCTGTTAAAACGAAAGCTCTTCCTTTTAAAAAACCATCTGATCATTTCAGACACAATGAACATGGATAGTTTGCAGGATTTATGTGTGCATAACAGACTGTGTGCATATATCTGTACATAGTCCATATCACATTTATATATAACAAAGCACGTGCCCTCCACAGATGTCACCTCAAGGAACCTGAACACTTTTATTTGCACTTCTTTATATAGGGAGTATCTGATTCAAACACTGTTGAGGTAGACTGAAGTGGGTTGTTCTTTACACTTGACATTCAKGATGTGCAAGGATCCTGTGTATTTCATGAGAACAAAGAGTTTCCTAGCTATTAGTTAACTTTATAAGCACACAGGAAGCTCTAGGGATGGCATAACGTCAAGTCTTTTTCAACAGGCTCATAATAACCCTATACAGAAGGAGAAATAAGCACTATTCTAGTGCTGGACTTACACTGGAGCACAACCAATTGTTGGGAAACAAAATGAAGAATCATTAATTTTCCTAGATTTCCTCCAGAAACTTGGCAGCACATACTAAAATTCAATGTGGTGCCTTATTCCCCATGAACTACCAGCCACTCTAGAATGCAAGCTCCAAGACTATGAACAAGGAGTCAGTCCTGGTTTTATCTAYAGGCCATGAAGGCTCCCTCTGCTTTGAAGAGCAGCAGTGCAGYGCAGATGGCTTTCACTGAGTACTAGGAATTTATTTTATTTCAGTCCTTGCTCWGAATTAACTCTGCAACTCTGAGAAGGAAAGCCAGAAAAACACTGAAGTGGAAATACGATGAACATCCTTGTGCTCCTGCAGATGGAAAAAAAAATTAAGCACTGCCTTAAAACCTGGACTAGGCTATGACAGCGGTTCAGAAATTCACTCCCATGGGAAAGACCAAAAAGTTTGTGAGTTCTTCCAAGTACCTGATTTCAGAAGACATCTTAGATGTTCATACAAGAAAAGCAAGAATATTAACTTGTTTTTTAGGCACAGAAGTTTCACCAAAGTGGTGTGAGTTCTTGGTGGGTCCTGATTACAGCTAAAATTCTACAGAATTTTGCCATTATATCAGAGCCTTCCAAGTAAGGCTATTCATGAGGTTGCATTTGGTGTAATATAGGAAATAAAGGAAAACAACACTAGAAAAGCAAGTGAGGGCTCAAAGTTACTGTTTTGATACTGAAGTTCACCATTAAGAGTCTCATCTGTGATACAAAGGATGTGGGATTAGAACAGCAGTAGTTGCATTCCCTGGAATAATACAATGGGTAAGGTTAAGAAAAAATATAAAAAGTTCCTGCCTGTAAATAAAGAATAAAGCCATTAACATGCAGTGCTTTCTGTGATGGAACCACCCAGTCTTGTCAACCAGGTGGGAAAAGATGGAACAAAAGCTGCAGCAATTTATTAGGGCAACATCCAAGTAGGCCCTTTCAACAGCTGACATGAAACATGGAAGAACAGAGCCACAACAGCCACAGCTCAGCTTGTGCTGCAGCAGCTTCAGGCTTAAGGATAAGCAGATCCCACTGAACAAGCAGCAGGAACAAATTAGGAGACTGCTCAAAAAAGTTTTGGAAATAAATGTAGTGTTTTATTAACAGTAGTATTTTGTTAGCATGAGTCTAGCAGGACATGGGAAATGGAAGAGTTACGAGATCCAAGGCAGGAATTTAGTAAAACAATGTTCATCCCAACCTCGGAGAGGGTCCTCCAAGTAGACGCTGTCCCATCTGCCATCTTAAGGGGACACTCCACAGCTGAGCGATRCAGCTTTCAGAAGATGGAGCCATTTTCCTTAAGTCAATTAGTGCTGTGAGTATTGAACACAGGCTGCTTCAGCACTAGCTGCTAGGGCTGTCCTGTTTATCCATGTGTTCGCTGACTTCCTGAAATGCACAGGGCTTTGCACATCTGGTAAAACAGGCTGGCATGGGTAGGAATGAAAAGCCATAACAAATACAGTCAGGAAGGCCATTTACACCTGAGGTCTGTGGCACTCATCACTGGGGTCTTTTTGCTGCAGCAGCATGAACACAAGCCCTCCTCCCCCTTTGTGGAATTGTGAGGAGAGGGGTGAGTATGTTTTTTAAAATTCCACATACAATCCAGACAAAAGTCTGGGGCTTTTTTCTAAAGACATGAAACATAAGGTTTCACAACGAAAACTAATTCTGTGAATGATCAGCATGTAACTGCTGTATTAAAAAAATATTCAGGAAGAGAGTACAATATGAAGAAAAAAAGTCAACAGTAGCTACTGAGTTAATATTTTCTTAATTTAAATTAGAAGAGGTTTAATTGGAGCCAAAGGTGCAATCATACATAGTTTCACTAATCCAGATAATAAAGGGCAAGTTTGGACATGCGAGCAGAATACAGACAGTGCATGTTTTCATCAGAGAAACAGCTCTGCTGACACTCAGAACAGGCTGGATGTCCAACCCTGCTCATCTTTCTACTTTCTGGTTCGAAATTGAAAGGTAGAAAAAAACAAAGGAAAGGGTCCAATGTAACAATCCTATGTAAAAAAAAGAAGTCTCATAGTACACTTCACTAATGCAATTAAACAAATTAAAATATGGCTGAATTAACAAATGCCCATACAAGAATGGAACTGTTTTTTAAAACCATTTCTACTATTTCCAGTATATAAAATAATGGGAATATTATTTGAAAAATATTCCAGTAGTTTATTCTTGTCCAGAACTGTGATATTTCTGGACTAATTAGGGTTACTAAGTAATCTGGACAGACACCTTTGCTTGAGAAAAAAGCCCATGGACCATTATAGTACTTGAGCAATACTATGCCAAAACCAGAATGAAATTTCTTACTTTTTTTAAAATTCAGTCATTAAATCAGCTGAATTGGTTTTAAGGTTAAACAAAATCTCCAAATGAATAACAAGTGAAAGTTTCTGAACTGCATATACTCACTGAGTCAGATATTAATCTCTAATGAAGACATAACATTAATTAACTAAAAATGCTCAGAGAAGCACATGCTATACATTCATGTAACATGCTACAATGAAATATTCTGCACAGGATTTAGGAAGATAGAGCAAAGTTGATACCTATCATTACACAATTTGTGTGTTCACTAAATGGGGKTTATAAATTTGTCTTCCATTTGCCTTTTTTTTTCCATCTGTTCTGATAGCATTACACAAAAGTATAAATAAATAAACCATTTGACATCAGACCTTATAAAAGACTGTGGCAACTTCAGGGTTTCACTTGCAACTTCTCTGTGTACATAAAGGAGTTTTTCTCCTAGCAGAGGCCATAGTCAACAAAAAAAAATTCAAGGCTGGTAGCAAACCATCAGAGTAACTAAAAATCTGGCACGTGGCACTAGGTGAATGGAATGCAGGTCCAAGAGGAGAAACAAAATCAAGACGGAACTATTTGTGTGCTTGGAAATGAAAAAAACTCTTTTGCCAGCAGAAATCTCGCCCGGCTTGAACAATAGGACCTTTGGGCTTCATTCAAGTAGCAAGTGTTCACATGCTTAGAAATAGTTGTTACTCTACTTTCCTTAAACTGACAAAAGTCAGGTGTAAAATTTTCAGTTTAGAGAATAGTGAAATTTCGATAAACAGGGAAAACCTCAGGGAAAAGCATATGACTTAAGACAACCCCATGCGGGTTAGCTGTAAAGTGACTGTGGTCTTAGCAGAATAAAGGAACCAAATTAATTTGGTAAAGTTCATCAGCACCTACCTAAAAAATCCAGCTTCAAAACCCAGAAAAGTATTTCCTTGAAAAGTCTGCGCAACATTATTAAAGACAAGTAAAATCACACCTTTGTGTTTCAAGACATCTTTTGCCAAATATCTTCTCTTACTACAAACCTGTGTAAGCTGGGTTTTGTTTCAGGCTCACATTGATGGTTGAGAAACTGATCTGACCAACCAGTTCTTGCATCATTTGATATAACTGGATGCTCCAGAAGCTTTCAAGCAGATTTAATTTTATTCCTCCACTAGCCCCTGTTCGCAAATATACATCTGTGTTCTATATATAGGTCATCACAGTGGTCAGTCAATACCTCTGAAGTACCACAAAGTTCTCCAGCTTATGTAAGATGATTGCCTCAGCTTTAGTCTACAGAGTATTTYTGCATAAGAGACAAACAAGAGTCCTCCCTGTCAGACTGGACCCAAAGTAACTCACTTTTACACTGAAATTCCTCAAAAATGCCTCTAAAATACTTTAGTAAATAGCATTTGTTTGGCTCTTCTTTGGTTAATAAAGAACCACTGCTGTAAGGGTGAGACAATTCCCTAACTCCTCAAATGGAAGTGCAACATCTAAAGTCTTCACCTAAATTTKCTCCAAGAAATTTTGCAGCCAAAGTCTTAGACTTGTTTAATTTTAATTCAGTTGAGTTTTATTCTAGACCAGCCACATTTTTTTCTAGACAGAACATTCTTGAATCATGTGTATGAGCCATATCCTTGGGGTTGTAAATTCGGCAGTCATTAGGTAAACACCAAGATCTAAAGCTGGAATAAAGAACGTACCCTGCACCAGAGTCCACAGAGGAAAGAGCTCCTGTAGAGTCCTAGATGGAATGACGATACTCTGCCCCAGCTCCTACCGGACAGGTGTGCAGAGAGAATCTAGATACAGCCATGTCTGTGTTCTGCTGAATCTGAGTTCAAACAAGTTTGAAAAGCAGTTTGATAAGTATTCTGTTTACTGTTACTCTAGTCCTAACGAAAAGCTACCATGAGATGTGACCTTATCAGCAAGATTTAAACATCGAAACATCTGCATGATCTTGAGATGAAGTGAAARTTTTCTCAGAGCAGGTTACAGACGTGATCAATTTCTTACTTTAAAGCATGGCACGATAACAGTTTCATTGTGGCCATTTGTTCAGTACAGTGTGAGAGCGTAAGACCACCTAAGCACTGCAAGATAAATTAAAACTCAAATGTGGAAAGGACTATTGAAAGTTATCTACATTTACAGTTCAATCACACATTTTTATTTAACATCAGTATACAGAGGACAACCCCAGCAAGTTATTTTGTAATGTCAAGTATTTAGTAAAGTTCTTCAGCTGTAACAGTGACAATAGAACAGCTAAAAATAAGCATTATGAAACAAACATGATCTTCTTAAAATTATAAATATACCAACAATACTTCTTAAAGCTTAATTATTGCAACAGTTAAATTAACAATAGGTCATGTTAGAAAGGCTCTATGAAATTTATTCAAGTTGTCAAGAAATTAGATGGAAGTGTAAAAAGGAAATACATATGAATTTTACTTTTGATTTTCACTAAAGGTAGTCAATACAATTTTGTACAGTATCACCTAACATGTCAATCTTTAACAAACTCCAGTATACAGAATCATAAAATGCAGAAAAAATAGTTTAATCTTTACATGTAAATTGACAGTAAATTAACTGACACAAATTTTATTATTGTAACATAAGGAGGCCAGCATTTTAAATATTAATTTAGTAGTTTTATGTTGTTAAAGGGGCAGACATATACAGTCATTCCAAGTACATACTCAAATTTTTAGAGGTGATAATTCAGAACATGGATTTTCTAGAAAGTGTTTAGTAAAAGTCATGTTATTTCCTAATCCAGACATCCTCATCATAAAGCCTTTACAGGGTTATGAGCTCTCCTGGCATTACTGGAGCCACTTGTCACACCTCCTCACACACGCACACACACATACCTTGCTATAAATATCACACCAGTGTACTCTAGGTTTAATTCACCCTGATAATGCGGGTATGCCATGTGCAACTTTGCTACTGTGCACATTACAGAAAGCTTCAAATTTTAGCATGGTAACCTGAAGTTGTATAGCTGTGTTTCAGTTTAACTATAATCATCCCTGAAGTTTATACAGATACCGTATCACGTTGAAAGAAATCTATTTGATAGTACTTAAATACCAGCAATTGAACTTCAATTGTAATGATGAAATGCTCCTTTCCACTGAGGAAGAATTAGTATGTATAGCTGCTTGTCTCACTCAAATATAGTACATGAATGTTTAAGTACTTTCACTAAAACAGAAGTCATACTAAAACATGATACTGTACTACAATTGTAGTTAACTAGAAAATTCAAGGATGTTATAATTTAAGTCTAAGTTTTCCTGTACAATAAGTCAAATAAATAAATTCCATGTGCATTTGTTTTACAAAGTGGTGGGATATTTCTCTTGCTAGGTTATACACTGCCATTTCACCTGGGGGAACTTCTGGCCAATCTTACCTTGAGCTTTCTTACACAGGGAACTCATCAGCAACTTTCATTCACATAAAATGGAGTCACTGTCCAAGACAGTGAATAGTCAGTTCTAAAGTTCAACACAGAAATCACGTAAGTAGTTGTTCTGACCACTGAGTTCAGAGAAAACGTACTTTACATATCCAAGTACCACTSTGGGTTCTTGGGGGACGTGTGGGTTGGTTTTGTTGGTTTTTTTTTTTAATTGCTTCTGCAGATCCTGTAATTCTGTTTGATGTAGCTATAAAGACAGCGCAGTAAAGTTTACTTTTGCTCCTTTCAATTTCTTTTTCTATGTTTCCAGATTAATCTAACAGTTCTATAATCCCATTTAGGTTTCTCACCAGGGCTTGGGAAAGACAGGGGTTACAGATGACAGTTAATTGTCACCATGTTGAGAAGAAAAGTTCATACTCTCGTTAAGGCAACCTATTTTTCTCACTGCCCTGAACCTTCTCTCACAGAAACAGGCTAACAAAAAAAAATGAGAGTAAAAAATTGAAACTAATGAACCCTGAGGCTCATCCAACWTGTTTCTAATTGAATTTTGCCATTCACTTCCCCTCGCTGACTGGGAGTTGGCAGAGCAGTTCTGGAAGTGCAATGCAAGAACGGTACATCCCGTGAGGAAGCTCAAGGTATGATTTTGTACAAACTGAAGCAGTAATGTGGAAAGTTTATAAACAGTCAGGACACTGTCAGTGCTGTGCRGACTATCAACTATCACAAGGATCATGGCAGAAGAGACACTTCTGGATTTATTTTCCACTCAGGGCAGCACCAGCCCAACTAGAAAAATAAACAGAACTTGTCATACACTGTCCAATTATCCAGCACATCTTTTGATGGCTGTTGGACATGAGAGGGAAAGGTAGCACTGGCTCAATGGAAATTACATTAGACACTGCAAGCCTCCTTCGCTTTTCCATCTGAATCTTTCTTTAGGCTGGCAGTGGCATCAATTTAATGAAAGCCTTTTGAGGAAATGATGGAAGCAGCAGCAAGATTCAGAGGCTTTCATATAGAGTTGGCAGACAAAAAAAGTGACAGAGCTTTAAGATCACTTGGGGAGCCACATTTCAAAGGAAGACTAGAAATAGCAACTTTAAACCCCAGAGTAATGGGACACCCTAGGATAAAAGAGTTGGTGGAACAGAAATGATGGTATATAACCCAGTAAGAAAGACATCACCATGAGTGTTTTATACTTTGACAATTCTCATTAAATAAAATTAAGTGCTTTCCTATAAACAAAAAGAATGCTCATAACGTCCTTCTGGCACAAATATTTTCCTATCAAAGCCCTGTAAACATGCCACCAAAATTTAGTTTTTACCAGCAGAGTGAGCTCACTAGAAATGCATGTGAAATCAGAAAAACAAATTGATTTGAAAATTTCTAAGTAAATACATCCTAAAGAATATGGCATTTACATCAGTGTGCAATATATTAATTTTGAAAGTGTTAACTTCAGCATGAAAATTACTTACCTGTAGTTAAAGTTTTCCATATTGGCCAATACATAAATCCTGATTTTTGGTACTGCATACTTTATCTCTGAAATATTTGAAATGTCATATTCCAAATCAAAGTCAATACACAAAAAAAATTTATGTTCAACTCAGTCTAACAAAACCCACCTCAGCCACTGAAAGTAAATGTGACAGCGTAGTGTTCAATAGTTTGCAAAGGAGTTTAGAACAAATAGAAAATGTAGCTCACAATAGCAATATGAGGCACTGCTGTAATTAGTGCGATGTGAAGTGCACTGAGTCACAAAAGTATAACTGCTTTAGTACTTTCATTTTGAGCAAACATTTTAAATAATTTAGTATTTCGAGGGAGTGCTTGYTTTTTTCAGTTAATGCTGGATTTGTAGTTCTCAGGCAAAAAAATACTTTTAGGTAACACCCTCCTCCCTTTTCCCATAAAGGGATTTTCAATTTTAAGTTTTAGATTCAACCTTTACGTATGCATTAAGATGCAGAGCAGACACAGGTCTCCATGCATACCTAGGATGCGACAAATTTGATAACATCTTAAAGAAACCTACATGATACAGTTTTAAGAAAAATTGAGTTTTACTTGCAAGTTTATAGCAATGAAGATGTAGYATCTAAATATATACAGTACCTCCACTTCAAAAGTCAGATTTATGAACCAAATGGTTAAAACCTAATGAACAACAGRTTTTCATTTAAGTTGCTCAACATGGCAATATTCATGTATTTACCAGATCATTTCTTTTACTTCAGGTGATAATCTACATCCCCTTTCAGAATTTTTCACAAAAACAATGGTCCCTTTTGGAGAATCAACTCTGGTAATGTTTTCATAGCTGTAGTCCTCTGAACTGTTGCTGGCAGGCAGAGCTACTGTAGCACACAGCACTTTTTAATGTAAGAATCACCACATTTAGCTAAATTTTGACTGAAGCTCTCTATACATTGGACAGAAGGAAAATAAAATTTTATAGGTGTTCAAGTGCATTAACAAGAAGAGTTAAAACTAGTAATAGACTAATKTATGTTCAGCTGATGGAACAGGTGCCATCAAAAGCACGAGCTTGTAGTGGTTGAACTGCCTAACAAACCTGACAGGAACAGAACACTGAAACTACTGAGAAAAAGCTTGCAGGATTTTCCCTAACTTAAACACAAAAATCAAAACCTGGCTAAAATTAGAGTTCCTTGATAATACTGATTTACAATTCAAGAGCATTAAACGACAGTCAGTACAGGGCTCACAAATCTGTGCATAAAATGGCTGAAGTTCTAATAAGAAGTGGTTTCACATTAATGGTAGGCCACCACAGAAAAATATGGAGGAATAAAACACTTTGGTCTTAATTTTTTCAGAGGCTCACGTTTCTCATTAGACTTAAAAGCAGCAACTTTTCATAAGCTACTCTCATTGGGAGTGCTTATTTTGTAGAAAACATTAGAAGGATTATAAKTATTTTAGTGTTTGACAGGTTTTACTTTGATTTTTACATAAATAGCTTTCACCATATTGTGGTTATGCTTAAGTATAAGAACACTGATCAATAGTTTAGATGCACAGTATTTATTTCTTCTGCTGGAAGGCAACTATATTTAATAATTGTATCCAAGACACTTCAAATCATTCAGAAATATGGCATGCAGTATCCAAAAGTATGGCTCTGAGGATAATTTTTTTTTTACATTAAGCATAAAGAAATTTTATATTCAACATTCATTATATTTCAAGAAAACTATCTATTCAGAGTTCTAGTTCTTTGATGCAGCATTAAGGATTAAAACTTACCACTTTACCAGGCCTTGCCCATGTGCAAATAAATCCCTCCTGACAAGCAGTGACTATACAGTCTTCAAGAAAAATTAACACAGTCAGTCTTTCATGTGCTATCTTTTTACAGATAAGAGGCTCTAACAAGGGAACATCTTCCATTCGGGGACAGAGAGGTGTTCCCAAAGTTTTAGCTGGGTCCGTTTTGGTTTTAGTAACTAGGTTCAGTTTGTCACTGCTCTTGCTAGATATATGTCCCATGCTATGGTTTCTCTTGTGATCTTTTTCATGGTGTCTTTCCTTCCGATCGTGTAGCGATAAGGTTGCAAACTTACTAACGCCAGAAGCAATGGCACCATCCATGACACTGCTTTTACTGCCAGCATTTGAGACTGCAGAGTGTGGAAGGCTGTTTGACCGTGGAAGAGGAGGGGGTACAGAGTTTCCAGGTGTTGTGATACTGTTTCCATTACTTCCTGGGTTAGTTCCACCACTTCCTGCAGGTGGACTTGTGGCATTCATGACATTTGTATGTGTCCTTGCTCTTGAGAGAGGTTGGTGGGGGAAGAGGATATCTTCTGTAAGATCCCACAAACAGAGCTGTGTGTCCTGGCCTACTGAACCAAATCTATACGTAACACTTACTGGACGACTGTCTGTAGAGTTCCTTTTGGATAGTCTAGATTGCGTGCTATTTGCTCGATCTCTGCCAAAATGAAGGTCTTGGAAATCCTCATCACTTCCGCTAAATTCCATCGGGTCACTCTCTTCTACACTAGTGGTATATGGATCAAACGCAACGACACTGACCCACGATTTATGGCCGTGGCCTCTCGCTATAACTCGACAGTCCACGAAAGACCAAACTGTCACCAAGTCATCCTCTCCGCCTGTCACTATGTATTTCCCATCGGGACTCCAACACACACACAGCAGTCCTCCAAAGTAGCTTTTCATTGTACCATGCAATTCCACTGAATCAAAGTTAAACACGCGAAGAAAACCATCCTGGCTCACACATGCCAAGAACTTTCCATCAGGGGAAAAGGCAAATTCATTCAGGGCACCCTCACCTACTGTCCATTTAAGCAGAGGGTTTCTTGTGGATTTACTCTTGCAAGTGTGCACTGCAAAACTCTCTCCTTGTTTAAGTAGCTGGTAGTGCGGGGCTGTGGTACCACAAGTGTGCTCCACGTTATACAAGTACATATTGCCACTGGAATGAGCTACTAGGAAAAGGCTTTCCGAACCTGGTACCCATTTTACACAGGTTACTCGGGACTTGTCTATTAGTCTCTGTGAAAAACAAAGAAGATACACATCAGAAAGTCTGAAAATTAAAGTTTTCATGATTAATTGTAAATCTGAGCTTTCTGGGGGATGAGGAACAATACTTAAATATTAAGTGAACTCAACTTTCTAGACAGGAACTATGTTACTGTATTTGCAAAAACTTATCAGGCAGTAAAGAGGAAATTATTTTCAGACAAAGTGCTTTCAAAGGTTATTATTATAGTCCAGTCACATACCACAAAGACCATACTTCAATCAAGCTAATCTGTTATGAATCTAAAGGCAATGCTCTTTGGTTTACTTTTCCCTGTGTAGGCTGAAGAGCACGACAAGGAAACAAGAAAACACTGAATGAGCTAAAGGGAAAAAAGGCAGTTACTCATCTGCATTACACAGCAAACAGGTTACAAATCAACAACAGTAAATTTAGGCTCTGATTTCATCTGATATCACAAATAAAATCCAACCTCTGAAAAAAGATCTACCAGCTTTTACTGATTCAGGGAGCAAAGGTTACATACACAGTGACCCTGTTATCATATGGCTGGTAAGTCAGTAGGTAAATACGTGGCTGGGTAAATTCACAAGGCACCACATACACTTCACCTTGGAATCCCCAACCTCCAATTCTTTTCTTACAATAGCCAAGGATCGGTCAATACTCTGTTACCATTGATTAAGCACTTTCCTTTAAAGCAAAACATTTTAATAGAGTTCATCATTATAAAAGAATGAACACACATTAAACAAACATTCCTGATCATAATGTCTTCAATGCTCTAAGAACTGAGAGATAAAGTTTGATTCCTTGAGTTTGCTGCTGTAGTCTTGGTGGACTTCCACAACTTACCATGCTGGCCATGGCACCACTCAGCTGCAACTTGCAGACAAGTAATTCTTTACAAACACATTCAAGATTTGTATTTGGCATATTGATTATAAGCAGAAAGGAGAGCAGAGCAACATAAAAGGCAAGAGTGCAAATATAAAGAGCCTAAGGAATACGAGAACAAGTTACAAAAGCCCTAAAAACAAAGAAGAAGAAAGTATYCCCCCAAAACCTTGCTATGCTGTTTATCACACACAAAAACCTCAAATTAATGGATAATAAATACATTGACTGTTATCTKTTCTGGAACTGTCACTGGAAAGCAGCACCCGGCCACTTTAGATTACACTTCTGCTGCTGTCAATGTCAGCATAAAACCAGAAAGTCTCCCTCCTGTAATTTCTCATTGGTTAAATCAGCCATGGTGTATTTGAGAGCTGAGAGACGTAACTAAACCTGGCAAAGTTCCTTCACATGGGGTAGCTTTAAAACAATATAGTCTATGATTCTGTTGTGATATAGTCTATGATTCTGTTGTAATATTTTAACTAGTTTGTCATGTGTTCACTGATATGTATCATGCATGTCTCAGTAATGATGACATCAGAAATATTATGGAGAGAGTTACCTGGCACACACCAGGAGAACWCTGACAGGGAACACCAGCCCAGTTTCCTCTAGGTAACAGTCTTCTCATTGCCAATATGGCAACAAAAACATTTATCCTTTACTAAAGCAGCTCAATCTGACATACAACCTCTACGCATAAGAGCATCTGCTCAATTTCTATACCAGAAATGGCACTTTATGTCCATAATCATGTTGGGCTACATGATCCTAAATACTGCAGAGAAACCATGCAAACCTGAYCTTTACTTCAAGGAGGCTGTGAGAAACAGAGAGAAACAGATTATAATTTGCAATGGGAACAGATCAGTCCAAGGAGACAAGATGCAATGAGACTTCAACCTGACATGTAACAAGCAACTACAATGCATCCCCTTCTCAAGATRAAAACTCTTGAGTTAAGACTAATGGGAGTTTTAAAAGCTTTCAACTGGGCTCACTAAGTTCTGCAGCACAACAAAGCAAGACCTTGCAGTCAGTAGGACAAGCAGATGCATTACAAGAATGGACTGAATGCAGTATCAGCAAATCAGTGAGGGAGGTGGGATAAAGAGCTTATGTTCAGTGTGATGCAAGAATAGTAAGTGAAGAAGCTTCAGTCACTAGTCAGAAACTCGAGCCAAGATTATCTTGGTCATGTTTTGAAGAACTTGAAGGGACAAAATTACAGGCCACAAAGGATTGAGGCAATCAAAGACTATGTATTAAGGTCTGACAAACCTTCGGCAACAAAGGTAAAGGAGAGGTTTATTAGGGAAAAAAATGCAGCTTAAGGCTTCACGTTATATTTTAAGAAAAGATTAAAAAGTAAGATGAAAAAGCACTTGCTAGTTTGATAACAACCAACTACCACCTGGAAACAACTGAATCTGTGAGGAATACTTGGTTAGTCTGAGGAGTAAGAAATATCACTACTTKAATGTTGACACAGCTGGAAGGAATACCACTGGGGATATAGATGGATTCATGTAGGCAGCCACAAGCTGCACAGTATCTATCACTCACCTCAGCCTTTCAAGTCCCTATCATCCTCTATTCATCAACAGAATTTAAAAAAAAATTAGTAACAAGTTAGTCTATGCTAGGGTCACTGCATTTTATGTTCAAGATAACCTTCTGTGTCATAAAAGGTTGAGTTATTTAATGTATCACATATATTCTGATTCCTATTCTGACTGCTCTACCACAGCTGATAGTCAAAACAGAGCTTTGGGCTACCTGAAGTACCAAATTACTCAGAGGACACGTGGCGAATTCTATTACCTCTACCACGAGTGCTGCATCTGTAGAACAATGTAAGTGCTCATTCAGACCACCTTATTTATGCCCATGGTTATTCTCAGACAGTATCTAAACTCAAAATATATTCGAAAYCCAACAGGCACCTTCATCTTGGAGCAAATGAACTGGTTCAAACATCAGTGCTCACTAATATTTCTGTGAAATGGGCTTTAAATACAAGCTAGAACTTCCAAACACACCTAGGCAAGTTTCAATACTGTAATTGACACAATAAAAAAATACAGAAATTTTAGAGTTGGTTATAACTGCAGATAAGGTCAGTGTAGGAAATAAAAATTTGTCATTTAACTGTAGCTACTGTGTGTGTAGTTTTGGCAGTACTGACCAAATCCTWACATTAGCTTGGTTAGAAATAAATCACCTCATTTAAATTTCCACCAAACTGTCAAAGGATATATTCCCACCACACTGAAGTAATCAAAGGTCAATAACTGTCTCATGGAAGTGGTTTCAATGSTTCCAGCTTTTGGGGAATACTACAGGAACTATTCAGCCTGCAACACAGCTTTGCACTKTAGACACCAGAGAGTAAACACCAACAAGGCCTGGAAACATGCACTGGGTTTTTATATGTATTCCACCAGAAGTTTTTCTCAAAGGAACTGTAGTTCAGCTGCAGGAGTGGGAACTACTCTGTGATCCAAAACTGGCTCTTGGGGGCATGTCTGCTACCCTTCGTAATACACTATTATCGTACAAGAATAAATAGGATTATTTGTTTCCAGAGGTGGAGGGAGTGGTAGGACAACACTTAAATTAACATTATACTACTTATACAGAGGTTTCTACCAACAGACAAAAGATTCATTAAAAGATTCTGCAGCACTGTTTCCCACTTAACACAATCAGAGATAGAGCAGTTGGGACAAGGCCAGGTAGGGAGAAAAACGCCCCTCTTCCGATCTACRTGTAGCTACTTTTAGAAAGCCAAGGAGGAATTAAATCTAATTATAAAACATCCCCAGTGAGAAAAATACTTCAATCTTCTTTGCACAAGGAAGGAGCAAGGCAAYACATCTCTCTGAGGTGGGAAAGGTATAGTTTGAAAGCTGAGCAAGGTTTAACTTCATCTGTAAAGCTCTAATACAGATTTGAAATTTTGAAAAACAAACAAAAARCAACCAAGAGACCTGCAAACCTGTCTAAAGAGCTGGATTAAAACAAAAAAAAGCAGCAAAAGAATAGCCCCCCAAAGAAAATCACCTTCCCCAGACACCCAAATTCCCATATCCTATCCCCTGCAGAAAATGCTGTCACARCTTGTCCCAGTTACCAGACTTCTTTCCTTATTAGCTTCTGGACACCTACTCTTCTAAGGRTGCCAATGCTACCAGACAGTCAGAGCCAGTGGTCCTGTAACTTGGCATTAGTGCCCCCCATAGTGCTCCTTCTATCTTTCCTTATTGCACAGCAGCAGAAAAAGCAGATGGAGAGTTTCCTTCAGAAYATCACATGGCCAAGACTTCATAAGCCCTCAGCTTCTTCTGTACATTCAGCTTGATATCCTATTGTTCTCCAAGCAGGCCTTCAGAAATACTTGATATAGGCAATCTCTGCTGTAATGTCCTCACCATAAAAATTTGTATTTTTAACTTACTTGATATTTTGACTATAATATATTAAATAAGGGCTTATATGTATTCTTCTTCATTGGCAACCAGAAGCTTCAGAAACAACTGAATTCAGAGCACACACAGCAACAGTTAGATTTGTAGACCTTACTTCTATCAGAAAACTGTCATTGACTCTAGATAGAGTATTACCCAAACTAGAAAATCCTGATTTTTAATCTTAAACCCCACAAGATGCCTTCATCTTTGCAAGATRAATAACATTTCAGTGTGAGTATTCCAAACCCATAGAACAGCTGAAAAACAAAGGCAGTGACTGAACAGTAAGCTATACATGCAAATGGAGCCACATCTACTGAACTTGGAAAATCTADGAAATTCAATATCACAAATATGCATGCAACAATAGTAAGATTTCTACTTACTTCCTCATTAAATAATTTGCTAGTTTCTTTTTTAATAGGGTCTATAAGTTGGACCTGGCCTGCAGAGAAGCCCACTAGAAGAGACACACTTTCTGCTGTGGCTGTTAAGTGATTGAAGTCATGGCATGTAGGCTGTGTTCCTTTGTATATCCTTTTGTCTATTGGTTTACTCAAGTCCGCAGCCTGCAAAGAGAGCAAACAGAATTCAGACAGTTTATCACAATGTGTGCACATAACCACATCTATTTGAAAAAGATGTTTACACTACACAGCAATTTATGCAGTCCCAAAACCCTRCTTTAAAAGGCAGMTCTGTATTTAYGAAAGACATCCAAGATCTTATCAAAATGTTTCTCTATATTACACAACACTTGAGTTTTTCATGTTTGCTRCAAACTACACCTGCCCTTGCCTTTGCACCTACAGCATGGGACACACCAACATCAACCACTCAGYAGCACCAAGGCTCCTGTGAGTCCTCCTCAAGATACCAGAAGGCTTCTCTTGCCACAAGAGCCATCACAGAGACAAGGTATCTTCTACTTTCCTAGTAGCACTTCCTCAGTATAGAGTACAACCAATTTTGCATTAAAAATACCATATTCTCAGTCACACAATCCTTGAACTGTAAGTCTATCCTTTAACAAAAGGCAAACATACAACACTGTTCTCCATAACCACAAAAAATTGTCAACCAGATCCTAGGAAATCCTGGTCTAGGAATCACTATCTCAAGATACTCTTCAATTATAAAATACATTTTACACCACTGAGCTAGAAAGTAATTTGCTTCTGAAAACAGAATTCAAATATAGCTGATAAAATAAGTGCTAACAACACTGAGAAATCTCAAAATAAACAAATTAAGATCTAGCACCAAGTGTCAGAAGAATCAAARGGAACAGAAAAGCAATTTAAAATGCTCTCTAAGTTGTGCCACCCGTGTTTATACCCATATCACTTCTGAACAGACAACTAAATCTTTCATCATCCAGAGATTAAACCCCACACATTTAATATGCAAGATCATACATTAAGTTAAACCTTGTTTTTTAACCTCCCTATTTACTAGGGTCAGAGTCTGTAATTAGAAAGCTGCAGATACTCAACAATATTACAGGTCTCAGATGTAGCTGTGATTTGAGGCTTCAATTCTAATTTTGAAATATACTTTTTCAGTATATTTAGTCAGAGGAAATCAGGCCAGCAATAAAAGAGAAAGTAAACAAGCTTCACATAAAATAGAATTGCTCTAGGGTATTAAACCGTGGAGGACAAGGTCTGAAGAACAGCAGATCCTTGGTATTCATGGAGCTACACAGAAAGAAACCAGACCTGTCAGTAGGGAAAAATCCTAACTAGCTACACAGGTGAACTATTTCCAAGGCAAATTTAACTACAGGATATGCATGATAACCATATATACACAACAATATTAAAGTTGCACTTATGTTTTGCAGCATATATTACAAACYAGTTGTAATAATCAGGTGTATGGCCTCCTGGTTAAAAACTCCGAAGTGAGATGATGTATTACAATTTCTAAAGCCAGCAAACTAAAAAGTTCCTCCCCAGAGTCCAGAGATCCATTGTAAGCTAAAAAAGAATATTACCAATACCTCTTCAAGGAGAAATTAAATAGAATACTAATTCTACTGAGAGATGCCAGGATAACGCGCATGCCTGTCACAGAACATTCACAGGCTGATGTAAACCTGTAATTTGAAGGTGAAAGATCAAATCTTGATGGCCTTGCAGKTACATCTTACACTGTGTAACATTCTCTTGTCCTGTATCACTACAAAAAAGTGATGTCAAGAGAGAACTCTCAAAATTGGAGTAGCATTTCTAGAGCAAGCTACACAAACACATACATGCATCCTTCCATACCTCAGAAAGGCAGAATTAAAGCAAACATATGAGACTCAAGGTTCTGTCCTCTGGACAGAAGTTGCAGCAGGACTCRATGCTTAAGAACGAAGATCCATTCTAAAATAAATACAACTTGGCCTGAATCATACTGAATGACCAGAGAATCACAGACTCTCCCAGCCAGCAGAGGACACAGGCATTACCACCTTCTTCTGAATCCTCACTGTTTAAGCAGCAAGGAATCAACAGGTGGCTGTGTTCAAACTATACCTTGTTTTTTTGTCTGGGTGAGGTTTTACATGATTAGCTTTTGTCTTAGTTGTCCATTGACTTTGGTCTGACTGAAGTTCTCCATCTCATGAAATTGTGCGGTAACAGATCTAGCAAGACATGAAATTCTGATAAATTAAATCTTAGCACAGACTTCACTGTGCTTATTCTAGCTGTTCTCTGGAAACCAGATGGCAGTGAGAATCTGTCTGAACTTAAATGAAGTATAAATAAACTAATTCAACCCAGAATTAACCAGGCTTCTACTGACAGGGATGCCCTGCATTTTATTTACATGCAGCTACTGCTTTCAGTTACAGCACAGTTGTCTCATGGAGATAAATCTACAAGCACTCAAGTATGCTCGGATCTAGAGCTCTCTTAATTGAAAGACAGAGTAGAATCAATGGGCACAGGAACTAGGAGACATTTTCTTTATTTCTGCATGGTTGAAGATTGCTACTGGATTTTGCTAAGAACAAGAAAAGTGCTTACTCATAAAATTCAATCACGCCTGGGATTCTGCATTTCATTAGCTCACCACTAAACCCATTTGCTATTTTGTGGAAGCTGTGATTCTCAGAGAAAAGCTTTTTACATGAGATCTGGGTCCATAAAAAACTGCCAAATCCTAGGATTTGACACTATTTCCTGAACAAGGTGATACAAACTGCCCCCTCTTATAAGGATGGTGATGTACTTTGAAAAAAACCCAGAAAGATCTTGGAATTAAGTGTTGCCAGACGTGGAGGTTAAAAGCACAGAGCAGGCACCCTCACCATGGCAGCTGGCATCAAGCTATTTGCACACTTCCTGCCCCAATCCCTTTAAAATTTTCTTCTGAAAAACACTCAGCACTATTCCAGCCTGTCCACTTTGAGAAACTTACTCAATTGTGGATGATTCATGATGAGGGCAACACTTTCAGTAATCACAACTGAAAGAAAAATGGGGAGGCTGAYGCAAGGCAAGGAATCAAGACCATCATACATTACCTGGGCAAACCYTGAAGTACATCTTAGCCAATCAAGGCTCTGATGTTGGCACCTTGGCCAACTGATACCCGTGCTAAAAGTCKATTCCTTCCAACATACAGAGGTACTGCAAGTGCCCCCGGGGCAAAGAGACAAGGACTAACAGGTTTTAGGCAACAGGAACCTCACACAAGCCAGCAATACAGCTGAACAAAATTGATGCACCTTGGGCATCAACATCTTCCAAGTYCTGTCTCTGAACAGATTAAAACACTACCTTAAGAGAACCTCACACTTGTTCACAGAAGAAAAATTGAAAATCTACATTTTTGTGATTAATTCATACCCTAAAAATAAAACATGAACCATGTAACTGTTTGGGGGACTTCCTAATCTTATTCAGTTAACTCTCACAGCACACTACTTTAGCAAAATTACTCCCACTCTGCCAGGGAGGGGGAGGGAGGGGAGGAAAAAAAAATCTAACAGTCTAACAGTAGCCCATTCACCCTGGATTCATAATTTTCAGTAGAAGGGCAGTCAAATGGAACACATTATTCACAGCTTTAAATGCACAACATTAGAAAGAAAATGGTAGAAAAAACTCAACCAAAACCAGTCATTTTAGTCTGAAGCAAATATTTAAGTTTTCGGATTCTGACGTCTGAAATGTCTGATTAGGATGGGCATCAATAACCATGGTTCTGTAGCCGTACATAAGGTCAAAGCCAAAGATTAATATCTATCCAAGATTTATTTTATTGATCCAAGACTTAGGGCTTTCATAATAAGATTGCCTAAACAGTGAATCACATTATYTCAAGTCAGCATTTAATCACACTCCTTGACAGATGTTATTTCTTCACATCTCTTTTCTTTTCCTAACTTACATTTGCAGCTTTCTGCAATTTTTTCTTGAATGAAAAGTGTCTTACATGTTAAAATTCTTTCCAAACCGAAAAACATTGCCAAGATGTGAAATTCATTATTTTATTATTTCAGTTAATTTCAACTATAGTCATCAAAATGCTTTCTTTAGGTACTTAATAGTATTTAATATTACATTTGCCAGGAGACTGGCTTTCAATGGTTCATAGCTGTGAGTGAGATTGAGACAGACCAGTGCAGGCAAACATTTAATAAAAATTTTTCTGCAAAAAATCCTCTTAAGAAAATCTCTCTTGTCCAGAGAATTAATTGATCTGGAACAGCAGATTACAGATTAGTTATGTATGTACAGCTCCAGTGCACAATAAAAGAGAAGAAACAAAAACCAAGACAATGTACTTTTGAAAACGTGTTTTTGAAAACAAYTTCCTCGGCATTTCTGGAGCTTGGAATTCACAACTGATTACCTGTAACTTGCTCCCTCTTCAATACCTTGTGGTCCAGGGATTTAACGGTCCCTGGTCTAGAAACAGAACAATTTGAGAAAGTTGTGCTTTTAATAATGCTGTAAAAGTACACAGAACAAATCAACTCTTAAAACTATTACCAAGTGAATTTCTTTCAACTTCACAGATGCTCTTTAAAGAAGCAAGGCAACCCCTGCTGCAGTCCTTGTTTTACAGAATCTCCTGTGAATAGGACAGAGCCTTCCCGGACTGCTCACTGTATKAGCAAGGACAGGGAAAACTAAACTTGCTTATTCTTCTTCCATGTCTGCTCTGGTCTCCCTCTCCTTCCTGCAGAGCTAGGTGAAGGACAAAGAAAGCTGAGGAACACAAGAAAGCAGAGTTATCYCAGGAACTTTTGTAGAATTTTCTGGCCAACTCTGTTCCTTGTTTCTGTACACAAGTTTCTGCCAGAAATACCAGYGTCAATACTTCACTGGAAATCYCTCTAATTACTTTATTACCAAAGRAGTAGACTTCCAGATTTTTTTGTTTTATAGCCCAAAYACAGATCACTTAATATTAGCAACASARTAATTTGTAGTTACAGCACTGTTRTTCAAGCTGGTCTKATCTCACAGCTGACMCTACTCTGGGCAGGTTAGACTACAGACTCCCRAAAGTCCCTCCAATTTGAATAGCTCTGGAATCCTAAGCTTATGGTCAACTAAAG